CTCAGGGGGATCTCATCGCTGTATACAAATACCTGAAGGGAGGGTGTAAAGAAGACGGAGCCAGGCACTTTCCAGTGGTGCCCAAGGGAGGACCAGAGGCAATGGGCACACACTGAAACATGGGAGGCTCCATCTGAACGTCAGGAAACGCTTTTTCACTGTGAGGGTGACTGAGCACTGGCAGATTGTCCAGAGAGGCAGTGGAGTCTCCATTCTTGGAGGCATTCAAAAGCCATCTGGACAGCCTGGGCAGCCTGCTTTAGGTGGCCCTGCTTGAGCAGATGACCTCCAAAGGTGCCCTCCAACCTTAACCATTCTGTAGTCTTTACATTCCCCTATCACTTTGCTTATTCCTGCTAGGTTAGCAATTTCTGCACTGCAGATGTGAGAGGCAGCAGCATGTGATTGTCAGCTGGTTCCAAGTTGCAGACATCTCTCTTGCAGCCCAGAAGGCTGATCCCACTCCTCCGTTGCACCACATGCGCCCCGAATACTTGACAAGCGCAAAGGGTTACTTGGCAATCTGAGAGAAAAACGGTTTGGTCACCATCAATAATCAAGACCGTAGGTTAATATGTACAGAGAATTCCATACCTTTGCCTTTACTGAGTTTGGGATTTCTGTACACAAAGCGATCCAAGAATCTCATTAATGTGAAATCCTGCAAAGGGTCACCAGAGTACTGAATGGGATTTCCCTGAAGGAAGAAAAAAGCCAAAAATCAGTAAGGTCTTCATTTTAGAAAAACAGCAACTGAACACAGAGGACTCAAACAGTCCAAAACCAACATTAAACCACACTTCAAATAGACAAAGACTTGGAGATACTTCATTACATAATCCTGACCAGTTAATACGCTCCTGTAGAGGTTCTTATTTTTGGAATTTCAATAATTAAAAAACATCTCCTTCACTTTGTTTCAGTGATGAACTGCCTTGCAATGTACTGTGCTAAGAGCACTTAATACTCAGCACTGTTTGGATACCATATATTCAAATGAAAATAAATATTTTAAATATGTATTTGTGTAGGTTTGAGTATTTTTGGCACAATACCGCAACAGCATTCAAAAAGAATTTGTTCCAACAGCAGGGTTCCGCACGTAAAAATCCCATGTTAGATAAAAAGACAGACCAAAACTCTAAAAAAGCCTTAAGAATCATGTAATACCCACTTTTCTACCGAGTTAATTACTTCTATGAGCAGTCTCCTTTACGTAAAACACTTTAATTCCATTAAAAGCTTTGAATTTGAGTGTATGTTACAGCGCTGCAGAGCTGCTAATTAGCTGCAGGGTGCAAGGAGGCTTTGTCATGTATTTTTTCAAATGGCAAAAGACAGCTAACATAAAAATCAAACTTCAAAGCTACAGACTAGTAAAAGCACTTACTTCTAGAATTGTTTTTGCGAATAGGGCCACAGATGGATGAAAATGTTCAGAAAGCTGAAAAACATGAATCATTTATTTCTATTTTAAAAATAAATGCAATCATTATTCATGTTGACATATCAGACTCCTGACAACACCACTATGTCGTAAGACCACTCTGTAACTCACCAAATAATGCGCAGGCGCATGTAGTAGTGCAAGGCTGATGTGCTCCACCCTTGAACAACTGAAGAACTTACAGGTTCTAACCTTTTCTTTGCGTTAACTAAATACATTCTCACTTACAATTTCATTTAATTCAACACTAAAAAGCTTTAGTGATACAAAGCTAAGATCCAAAAGTCAAAAAAGGTTATTGTTGTCCAAATAGTCACTTAAAAATTCCTATTCCCTACTCTGGAATATTAGCATTGTATATAACATACACAAGCCTAAAGCTGAACAATGTGTCCGCTTTAACCTTTCTGCTATGTTACCCAGGTAGCTACTCCAAGAACAACCAAGTTAATTCGCTTCTCTCAATACAAGGGCCACGCTAAAAAGCACAGTAATCAGCAACGTAAGAATGCTTTACCTTCTTCAGTTCCCAAAGGCTCGTACTTTCAGCACCACAATATAAAGGACTTCGGTGCATAGGATCATACGAAGCTCCACTCTTCCTGCCTGAGGGGGCGGAGGAGATGAGAAAACAACTTAATTTTCCTCAAGTAACTTTCAGAGAGTATTACTTTCATTACACCATGACAGTAACGCAGCGCACCATTCTTAGCTGGACAGGCCACAGTTTAATTCAGTAGCAAGTAAGGGTTATATCCATCTGCCCTTCCCCAGTGTGTGATCAGGTGCACAGGTGAGTTCCTACGGGCTTCCAAGGAAGCTCCTGAAAACCCCAGCTCTGTTCCAAAAGGTCTTCAGGAAAGAATGAAACCAGAGGCAGGCTGAAAGTTAGACAATTTGTTCTAGCAAGCTTCACAAGTGAATGAGCAGTTACACATCCTAACCCTGGCTACACTGCTCTGAAGGTGTTTGAATATGAAAGCAAAAAATCCCAAGCCTGTTTATTGCTTAGGCACAAATGTAATCAATAAAGTGAAAATAAAGTGAAAACCAAATAAAGTGAAATACTCTAGCAGATTCACAGAGTCTCTTCATCGCTGCTGAGCTAACAGATAAAAGAAAAATTATTCTGACTGATTGCTTTGAATCAAACTTCAATCTGAAAAACTAAAATACTGTTTTAATCACTTAATTTTACAAGTCGTTATCAACACATCACTGTTACGGAATGTCAGAAGCTAAATGAATTATATTTTCTTGCTAATTTACCTCCCATGTTCAGATGATGCACCCACGAAGCTGTTGAATTTGAATCATTTGTTTTAGCAGAATTTTCCATTGTGCTCCTCTCTTCACCTTCTACTTGTTTATCTGCATCCACAAATTTTTCCTCATCCTCTTCAGCCTCTTCTTGATCCTTAAAGCACTCTTCATCATCTGACTCCTAAACAACAAAAAAATGTTAACGAACAGCTACTCCTTTCCAGTTTTATTCTGACTTATTAGAAAAATTCATATATAGTTCTTAAGAAGCTGCTTACAAAAATACAAACAAATGATTGCCAATGTTTCAGCAATACAGATTTTTGGCCTTGATACAGGACTTAAAATTGAACCTTACAGCTTAAATGACACAAGCGTAATGGTCCCTCCCCGCCTGAAGAAAGAAAAAAAAAAAATCCAGTCCTGCCTAGCTATTCTTCAGAGACCGCAGACAGAAGAAATAAAGAGGCCCTGTTTCGACAAAGTATTTGGGTGAAGAATGTTCACCTGCATATTAGAGAGCATTTAGCAAAATAATCCTCTCTCCATCAATGGTGCCCATAGGACCTGCTAGAATCCTTAACACACCTTCATCTATGCAGATTTTTAATGCAGTTATAATTGTTCGAGTGCTGTCTCCCATAACATAACACAATAGGAAACCCTCAGGTAACTAATAAACAGGTTAGGGAAAGGTGCTTATGAAAACAGCTCTTCTTGAAAAAACAATGAGATATAGAAATCATCTTATACCACGTGATCCTGTAACTGGACCCTTAACTCTGGCTTTACTTTCAGAAGCTCAGACAGAAGGTAGAGGGTTCCACAAATGAAGGGTGGCATTTGTCCACAAGTGACTTGAAGTAACCTCTTCACAAAGGCCTTCACGCGCCGTAACACTACATCTGCCTTCAGAGATTTATAGACAAGATTAAGAAACATGGACGGTTTTGAGCAGGTTGCTAAAGCAGGATCTAGTAGCTTCCTGTAGAACACAGAGGAGAAAACATTGCTGATCATTATAATGCACGGAGAAGCATAATTGCTATTAACAACAATCATCTACATTTTTCAGAGTGCCATCTAAAAGACCAGTGACAGCTTCTTCCCCAGTACTCAAAACCACTATGATCAACCCTGAACTGTCAACAGCTGTGTAATATTTCTAGATATATGAGACACTGAAGATTAAAGAAAAACCCTGTATCTGTAAACAAAAAAACTGTAAAAAAAACATAAAGAAACTGAGTTCAACTGAAAACAGTTTCAAAATTTGAGATATTCAAAGTAAGAAACTAATCTGATTTATTCAGATATTCAAAAAAATAGAAAGAAAAAGGTTAGCAACTGGCACGCTTCACAATCAGACCAGACATATATTGGCAAGTTCATTTTCTACTCCACGTTTTTTCCAGGCTGCCACGCTCAGTAAGGCCCTTAAATATAGTGCACGTTCTGGGGGAACCTGAGTTCCCTTTTTAAAAAAATCAGCAACTTCCCTTTGGCCAGCTAAACAGAAGCCTGTAAGGATCCTACAAAGAGTCTAAACAATCAGCTGGGACAAAAAAAGAGATACTTTCATAACACAAGGCTTTCCAACTACACAAATTAAATCATCTAGAGAATTTCCTAACATAATATTCCTCCTCCCCCCATATGAAAAAAAGGAAACAAGATTTTAGGGCATTACGTGACTAAATGACAGTACCCATAAAACTGATGTCAGAAAAAG